ACCCGCCTCGGCCTCCCAAAGTGCTGGGATTACAGGCTTGAGCCACCATGCCCGGCTATATATTTTAGATGTTAGTCTTTTGTCAATATAAATATACAGATATATAGAAAATATTTTCTCAGCCTTGACTTTTTTTTTGCCCTCTTAATACTGTCTTTTGATAAATAAAAGCCCTTGATATTAATGAAGTCTAATTTAATCAGTCTTTAAAAATGATTGATGCGGCTGGACATGGTGGCTGATGCCTGTAATCACAGCACTTTGGGAAGCTGAGGCTGGCAGATCGCTTGAGATCAGAAGTTAGAAACCAGCCTGGCCAACATGGCAAAACCCTGTCTCTACTAAAAATACAAAAATTAGCTGGGTGTGGTGGCACACACCTGTAGTCCCAGCTCTCTGGGAGGCTGAGGAAGGAGGGTCACTTGAGCCGGGGAGGCAGAGGTTGCCGTGAGCTGAGATAGGACTACTGCACTCCACACTGGGGAATAGAACAAGACTACATAAAAAAAAAAAAAAAAAAAAAAAAAAAAAAAAAAAAAAAAAAAAAAAAAAAAAAAAAAAAAAAAAAGATGCTTTTTGTTTCTGTTTAAGAAATCCTTTCCTACCCCCAAGATATTTCCCTGAATTTTCTTCTGAACCTTTATTATTTGTCTTTTCACATTTAGGGATATTATTTCAAATTAACTTTTATATGTGATACAAGGTAGGCTCTCAAGGATCTTTTTTATCCCCTCAAGTAAGGTGATTGTTCAGGAATCTCTATTTTATATTTTTATTATCGTTCAGGTCAAAAGGTTTTCTAATTTTTATTGTGGTTCCTTTTTTGGCACATGGTTATCTAGTATATTGCTTGATTTTCAAACGCTTGAGCAATTTTTTACTTATCTTTCTTTTACTGATTTCTAGTTTAATTTTACTATGGTCAGAGAACATATGCTGTGTGGGTTTCATCCTTTGAAACTTGTTGAGACTTGGTTTGTATTAAAAAAACTAAGCAATTCAGTTAAAAGGCAAAGATTATCAGATTGGATTAATGCCTAAACTCAATTATATGCTGTTTATAAGAGACACACTTTAAATATAAGAACAAAATAAAAGGTTAAAGGAAAAGCCGGGCGCGGTGGCTCACGCCTGTAATCCCAGCACTTTGGGAGGCCGAGGTGGGTGGATCATGAGGTCAAGAGATCGAGACCATCCTGGTCAACATGGTGAAACCCCGTCTCTACTAAAAATACAGAAAATTAGCTGGGCATGGTGGCCCATGTCTGTAATCCCAGCTACTCAGGAGGCTGAGGCAGGAGAATTGCCTGAACCCAGGAGGCGGAGGTTGTGGCGAGCCAAGATCACGCCATTGCACTCCAGCCTGGGTAACAAGAGCGAAACTTCATCTCAAAAAAAAAAATTTAAAAATAAATAAATAAATAAATAAATAAAAGGTTAAAGGAAAAGGATGAGAAGAGATGTATGTTACAAAATAAAGCAACAAAATAAAGCAGGCTGGCTAGCTATATATTTACATAAATAGAATATAGTAATATAAAGTAGGCTTTAGGCCATGAAGTATTGACCTAAAGCAATTGCTAAGTGAAATAAAGCAAGGGTAGCTATATATTAATATAAATATAATATTTACATTAATATAAAGTAGACTTTAGGTCAAGAAGTATTACTAGACCTCAAAATAGATATTGCATAATGATTAGTGGATGAATTCAATTTAATATATAACACCTGTTAATTTGGATATATCTAATGATGTAGTCTAAAATATATAAAGCAAATATTGACTGAACTAAAATGATACTAGACAAATTTTATAATCAGTTAGAGATTTTAATATACTTCTCTCAATAATAAGCCATCAAGAGCATCCATAAGGATATAACAAATTTAAAAACATGAGTAATAAATTTGGATTCCTTGACACATATAGAACACTCTGCCTAACTCTATACTTCTTTTAGCACTTATATGTCTCTTAAAACATTACTTCTGCTCCATCCTCTCCTCTCCTTCTGAGAATCTAATATTTATGTTAGATCTTTTAACCGTATTCTGTTCTCCTTTTTTCTCTCTGTGCTTTGATTTGGTTATTTTCTATTGACCTATCTTTTAAGTTATTTAATTCTGCATTCTACTGTAAGCATT